GAAGGGACTAGCTGAATACATGCTGCATGGCAGGTACTGTACTGTTCTATGTAATGATTTCATTTAAAACATAAGCATATGAGGGAGCCTTCTGGGATACCTCAAATGTTTCAGCTTTTTATTTCTCCCAGTACTGGGGATTGAACTCAGGGCATTGCTCTGATCTATGTACCTGGTCCCTTTTTGTTTTTTATTTCTAGACAGTGTCTTACTAAGTTGCTAAATTGCACAGGCTGGTGTCAGACTTGCAACCCTCCTGCCTCTATCTCCCAGAGTGCCAGAATTGCCACAGTACCTGGTTCATGTCTTAAGTAATGATTATGCAGATATTTACTTATATACAAATCATTGAGACATTTAAGATTTGTGCATTTTCTGTATGCTATACCTCTATTTTAAAAAATTAAAAATCTAGTAGCCAAGTATGGTGACACTCATCTGTAATCCCAGGTGCTTAAGAGACTGAGGCAGAAAGATCACAAGTTCCAGCCTGGGCAATTTAGGGAGACACTGTCTCAAAAACAAAAGTATTTTGAAAGGGTTGAGAACACAGCTCAACCCTCCTGAATTCAATCCCTACTACTGAAAAAAATAAAGTTAAGACTTCATTTGTGAAATTTGGTCTGATATACAGTCCACTATCTTTGTGCTTTGGGTTATTCTTAACTGTTTTTACTTAGCTCTGCTCATTTAGTTAGTTTGCTAGGAGGTAGGATTCCAGATTCTCCTGTTATGTAGAAGGATAGTTGAAGAGAGACTTCCTAGAAATGGAAAAGATTTTTACCAAATATGACTTACGGAAAATTTTACTAAGAAACTATACTTACTATCCCTATCCATTCTGGAACTAAAATCAGTTTTCAGATTGGCTTTCTCATAATCCTGATACTTTATTTTGTAGTGCTTAACATTTCTTAAACTATGGCCAAGGATATAGATCCGCGGCATAGCGCCTGCCTGGCAAGCAGAAGGTCCCGAGTTCAATTCCCTGTATCAAAAAAAAAACAAATTTTTTTTTCTTAAACTAAGAAAAATCTTGCTTCTTACTTTTTGTTTTAAAACTCCATCAGGAAAAAAACTCTGACTCTATCAGAGAGTGAAAATTAAAAGTAGCTAGAATTGTTTTGTTTACCTTCTTCCTTGCTATCTTTTTATTACTAACAAGGTAATGGGTAAGAATTCCATTTAATCTGTTCTCCACCCAATTACAGTGCCTTCTGTCACCATCCTCCTAATTTCTCTATCCTAAGTATCTGCAGAGCTGTAGTTCATCAGCCATTTTATAAAATGAGTTTGGAAGTTTTCTGCCTGTGTTCTTTCCTTCCAAGTCTCAGGTCCAAAAACATGTGGCAATTTGGCAAGGGAAACTAAAAAACAGTCTTATTTCTTTCTCTCTTACTCTGTAGTAGGGTTTCTCAACAGAGGTACAGCAGACATTATGTTAGATAATTCCTTCTTTTGGAGACTAGCTTGTGAATATATAGTACTTGTCAGCATCCCAAGCCTCTACCCTGTAGAGGCCAGTAGCATGCCCCTACTTGTGACAAGCAAAAATGTCTCCAAATATTGCCAAATGTTTCCTGGGGAGCAGAGTTGCTGGTTGAGAACTATTGCCATAAAACATAAGCTGCATTTACAGAAAGTGGATTAAAGGGGAAAGACTCGAAATTGGCATGTGATTAGAATTCCCGTGGTAATTTTTTTTTTTTTGAAATGGGGCCTCTGTGTTGTCCAGCTGTCCTCAAACTCCTTGACTGAAGTGATCATCCTGCCACCACCTCTCAGAGTGCTGGGATTACAGGCATGTACCATCATACCTGGCCCTTAAAAATTATTAATGAGATATTTTACATTCTTTTCTTTTTCCTGCTGTCTTCAAAATCTAGTATGTTTTAAGAAACAGTATGTCCAGTATGTTCAGTACATTCAGACTAGCCATACTGCAGGTGCTCAGTAGCTCTGCGTGGTGTTGGGGATGAGCTCAGCAGCACAGCGCCCGCCTGGCAAGCTCAAGGCCCTGAGTTCAAGTCCTAGTTCGGAAAAAAAAGCTGTGTGTGGCTAGTGACTTCCATTTTGGATAGTGCACTTCTACGTGATCATGGTGTTTGGAAGGGGCACACATTAGCACATAATGGTCTCTCTACCCCTGTTTATGTACGCTGAGACATCAGGAAGTTGTCGTGACTCATTTACTTGATCAAATAAGACTTTAATTAGTCTCACCTGGTAGTTAATACCTGTAATCCCAGACTCTAGGAAGTAAGGTAGGAGGATTTCAAGTTTGAGCCCACCCTGGACAATTTCATGACTTAGTGCAACCCTGTTTCAAAATTAAGGGAAAAAAATGTTTTTAAAAGGCTGGGATGTGGCTCAGTGCCAAGGCTGTAGGTTCAATCTTTCCCAGTACAGGGGGAAAAAACACACCTAAATTACATAAATCCTCTCTCAAGATGCATAAACTGCATTTCTAATCTACCGTGTCTCAAATTCTTCAGCCCTCATTTTGAATAATATCGATTCTCTGCTGCCTTGGACAGAGATAGTAAGTACATATACTGAATATTATCATCATTTACCCTACAACCAGGGTGAATGACTGTGACAAAACACCAGTGATGGTAAGACTAGAGAAGAAAGTCCACTGGCAGTATTAAGAAATAGAGTGGCAAGATTTTTACATGGCCAGGTTTTTTTTTTTTTTTTTGAGACAGGATCTCACTATGTAGTTGAAGCTGGCATTGAACTCACAGTGTAGCCCAACTGACCTCAAACTCACAGCAGTGCTCCCACCTCAGCCTCTCAAATGATGACAGGCATGCTCCACCACATCTGACTAGCTGAACAGTAATTTTGAAAGGAAAGGCTTTGGGGAGTCCTTCCTCCCATTCTTCTACTTCAAACCAATAGAATAATCTGTGTTTTTACTAAAATCAAAATATTTGTCACTTAACTGTGGCAATTTTAACTGAGAAATTGCTTTCAAAGAGATGATTCCCTAAGCATGAAGTTCAGTGCTGATCTGTTACCATCCACAAGGCCCTGGCTTCAGTGCCCCAGTACAGGGTCGAGGGCTGGTGGGGAAGATGGCACAGCCATGACGTATGGAAACTTGGGACGCTGATCTATTTTTTTTTCTAATACTGGACCTCACATTCAAGGCAAGTGGTCTGTCATTAAGCGGTATCTCCAAAAGCGTCAGCGAGCTTTTATTTGCTTCCTCCTTTTCTCAGGGATGACAAATCTACAAGCTTCTAGCAAAGTACCTGGTATACACAGTCAATACTCAGTAAGTGTTTGCCGAGTTAATAAGGAATAGGCGATCCCTACGGTCAAGTCCCTTTCATCACGTATATGAGTATGGAGAAGAGGTTCTGTCTCTCCTCCACGTCTGGGGCACCATTTTGGTTAGTAGTACTTAGAGACACTGTGCCTTTACTGATTTATTAACTGATGTAATAACCACCAACTAAATACGCTATCGATGAAATACTAAGTTAAGCTTGCTTAGCCTGGGTTAAATCCAAATCTGTTGTGGCATCAAAAGAAAAGGGCCACTTTGGTTTCTATGTTGGTCTGGCTGCAAATGGCACCAAAGGAACTGGGACAGTTTGGTGGTGTTTTTCTGAATGGATGGAGCCAAGTCCTGTGTATTTGTTTTCCCAATGAGTTGTGGGAAAGAGGGCTGTAGGCGCAGCTTTGTGGAAGGTGTATGTCGAGTGAAGAAAGTAGAAACAGGAGCCTACCCAATCACTTCATGCTGGGCTACACCCCCATCTCAACCCTTTGGTTTTAAATTTTGAGATAAGGTCTTGGTAAATCACTAAATTACCCATGCTGGGCTAGAACTCAGAATCCTCCTGCCTCCGCCTCCCATAATGCCCAGCTCCCATCATTAGTTTTAGAAACAAAAGGACAAATAGAACCTCTGGTAAGGAGCTGTGGAGAACGACAACATGCAGGCAGTCGCTGTGTTGCACGCATGTTTTAATGAAAGAACATGACCAGCAGCCTCAAAGGGACTTCTGAGGGCACTATTCTTTTGAATTACTGCTGTTCATCTGTTCCTTTCCCCTCCCTTCAAAGGGATGGGAGCATAAATTAGTTTAGTAACCCTGTCTTTCTTAGTCATAAACTGGAGTAGACTTCACCTCTTCATTGTCCTTTCATCCCAGTCCCTAAACAAACACAGTCTCTGTACCATCTCCTTTTCTCTTCTATTATCTTACCTACTGGCTCCTCCCTACCCTTACATTTTTTTCTTGCATTTTTATTCTGCCTTTATACAAACAGCAAAATTGTACTGGCCCGTTTATGGCTGATGGAACCCAGGCGGGCTGCCCGATAAGGGGAGCCAGCATTTGGCCGACAGGGCTGGTGTGTGCCGTTATTACTGGCCATTGGGCCTCAGTCCTGTACAGCTCCGTCCTGGCTCATTAAAGCCCTGAGCCAAATATCGGCACAGGCGCCTGCTGCAGCACTGTGGGGGCCAGGAAACTAAATGGCTCTCCTAATCCTGCATAATTTATCTCCCTGTTAGCCCCCTCATAAAATAGTCCAGTCAGCCCCACCATGGAGAACTTCGTTCTGAAATTTGCTATTTTTGTGATGACCAGTGAGTTCCTAGCCTTCCCTTTCTTCTCTCTTTATTATTATTATTAAAAATTGTTTTCCCCTTGTTCACTACAAGTTGGCCTTAATGATACTTTCATTTGGAGCCTACTGCCTGGACCTCAGTTCACTAACAATCTGTCCACTTCTCTTCTTTGGACCTGATATTACAGAGCAGTTGGTGCTGTGGTCTCCTGCGCTCCTCTCCTCCCTGCTTTCTAGCACCTTTTTTCTCTGTCTCTTTTTCTTTGCTTCCAGTTTTTTCTCTTTTTCCGTTTCCCCTTTTGAGGGAGCAACCTCATTGCAACATATTTGGTAGGACATTTTTAAAGGGGACTGAGCCGGTGTGTGTGTGTTTGTTTGTTTTCATCTCCATTTCTGTTTCATTTCAGAGATTTACAAACGAGGACCACCTGGCAGTTCATAAACACAAGCATGAGATGACATTGAAATTTGGCCCAGCCCGAACTGACTCAGTCATCATTGCAGGTATTTGCTGCCCCAAAAGCCACGCGCCTTGCTGTCACCACAGTTAAGATGAATACCAGGGACCAGATGTGCTGGGAGCTGTACTCCGCCTCTCCCCTCAAGAGCTCTTGTGTGCTCTGCATTTAATCAGGAAAAAGAACACCAAAAGCTCCCAAATTTCCACTGTGCCCTCCACTCTCTGATTTTTAATAACAAGATCGTGTTCTGTGATTTTTGACAGTAGGTACATTGAGGTTTTATTCTAGCTTTTTTCACTGTATTTCCTCCTACTTATTGAGACTTTGGAAGATTTACAGACAAAAGATGCCTTTGACATTTCTCCCTATCCACAGCACATGGGTGAACAAAAGAAGGCGAAAAGCCAGCCTGCCCTGGCTGCCTCCTTTCCACTGGGTGTCAGTTTCCTCCAGGGGGCAGATTATCAATTCGTAAATTCCGCTTCCCTTGTGAACCCAGACGCCACGGAGGGCACATTTCCAGAAGTCAGACAAGACGTTTGTTTGAGTCAATGGGACTTTCCTAAGCCAATTTGGGCGACCTGGAACCTCTCACCAGTTGTTTTAGATATTGTCTTGCTTCCATGCACCATTCCCAAAGGAGCATTCATAGCAGTCGCTCTCACACCATGCAGCAGTTCTTTGTGCCATTTGCAGCCAGACCAACATAGAAACCAAAGTGGCCCTTTTCTTTTGATGCCACAACAGATTTGGATTTAACCCAGGCTAAGCAAGCTTAACTTAGTATTTCATCGATAGCGTATTTAGTTGGTGGTTATTACATCAGTTAATAAATCAGTAAAGGCACAGTGTCTCTAAGTACTACTAACCAAAATGGTGCCCCAGACGTGGAGGAGAGACAGAACCTCTTCTCCATACTCATATACGTGATGAAAGGGACTTGACCGTAGGGATCGCCTATTCCTTATTAACTCGGCAAACACTTACTGAGTATTGACTGTGTATACCGGGTATTTTGCTAGAAGCTTGTAGATTTGTCATCCCTGAGAAAAGGATAAGTAGGGACAGAGCCATCAACAATTGCTTAAGAAAACCTGGGGGAGCCAGGTGTGGTGGTGCACACCTGTAATCCCAGCATACAGGAGACTGAGGCAGGAAGATTGCTGCAAGTTCAAGGCCAGCCTTGGCTACATAGTGAGTTCAAGGCTAGCCTGATTACAGAACGAGACCTTATCTCCAAAAAAAGAAAACCTAGGGGAGATCTTTAGTAGAGTGTAAATATATAGGTAGGTAAAACTTAATTAAATCAGAGTACGTATACATGAAAAAAATTGGTATTTGCACAAATGAATAATACAGTGTGACTACTAAGAAATGAATAGTAAATGAAATTAATCAGAGAAAGTTTATGAAAAAGGTAAACTTGGGGCAAGTTGGAAAAGTTGTTCCAAATGGTTGAAAGGCCTATGCCAGCTCTCCAAGGTGATGATGGAAGGTGCTGTAGGACAGTCCCAAGAAGAAAAGTGCATTGTTACCTTTTGCATTCAGTTCTGGAGTCACATGACTTGAGCGCTTCTGTCTATGCTGTTATCATCATATCTCTAATTGAGACCTGCTGTGTCGTATGCATTCCAATACCCTTATTGGTCCTGGCTGTCACTGAAATGTTTATGTCAGCAACTAATCTTACCTTGGTCCCTCAGACTGTCTCCTGTCCTTTGTTATTAACTGATAGCGGTGGTCTAAGTCTTGAGTTGTTTTCTTCTTTTTTTTTTTTTTTTGGTTTTTCTCTGGTACCGGAACCGAACTCACGACCTTGCGCTTGCCAGGCAGGCGCTTTGCTGCTGAGCTAAATCCCCAGGCCCCGAGTTGTTTTATTCTTTATACAAACCCTCTCCATTCTCTTTTGTCCTTTGTTAATCAGCATCTGTCACTGTAACAAACACTTGAGGTGAATCAGTTTAGAAAGTTTGTTTTGGATCACCGTTTTGGAGGTTTCAGTCCATGGCTGGTTAGCCCCATCGGTTTGCACCTGTGCCCAAGCGGTACATCGCAGCAGAGAGTAAATTGTGGAACAAAGATACTTTCTCAAGGCTGAGTCACCAAAGAGAGAAACAGAGCAGCGTCCCACAGTTCCTTTAAAGGAAAGTGTGCTCCCAATGACCTAAACCTCCCTCCAGGTCCAGCTCTTAAAGGTCTGCCACCTCTGTAATGCCAGGGGCTGAGGACCACAACTCCACTACATGAGCCTTTGGGAGAAGTTACCCAAACCCCATAGCATTCCTATTTTTTCCTGCCACCACCCCCTGCTTATATTCCTTCAAAGGCTCCTAGTTCTTAGTCCATCCCGTCCTCCTCCTCCTGTTCCTCTACCTCGTCTTCTTCTTTCTTCCTCTTGTCTTTCTCCTTCCCCTTCTTTTTTTTTTTTTTTTCTTTTTTCTTTTTTTGAGACAGAGTCTCACTATGCAGTCCAGGCTGGCCTTGAACTTTCACTGATCCTCCTGCCTCAGCCTCCTTGGTCCTGAAATTATAGGCATGGGCGGCCACACCCAGCAGTTGTTCTCATTCTAATCCATCTTGCATACTGGAAAAGCTAGTTTTCAACCAGACACGCACTTGTAGATCCTCAAGCTACTGAGGCAAGAAGATTGCAAATTCAAGGCCAGCCTGGGCAATTTAGTGAGTCCGTGTTTCTAAATCAGAAAGTCCTGGAGGTAGCTCACTGTTACAGTGCTTGCTTAGCATCCATGAGGCCCTGGGTTCAACCCCACAGTACTGGGTGAGGGTCTTCCTTAAATTTTACTTTTGTGATCATAATCTGTCATCATCTTATTTTCTCTTAATTTAAAGCTATTTACCTGGGTGTGGTGCTGCATGTCTGTAATCCCAGCACTCAGGAGGCTGAAGCAGGAGGATCACTGTGAATTTGAGGCCAGCCTGGGCTATATGATGAGCCCCTGTCTCAAAAAAAGAGCTATTTATACCTAGATTTTCAGGCTTTCCTAGCATCATCCAACTTTATATGCAACTTATATATGTAAAGAGCTAATCTTTTTTTTTTTTTTTTTTTTGTCTTCCTGAGACAGGGTTTCACTGTGCAGTTCAGGCTGGCCTTGAACTGGCACTGATCCTCCTGCCTCCGCCTCCTGAGTGCTGTATTGCAGGCGTGTGCCACTGTGCCCAGCCAAGAGCTTATCTTTTGACCTAACATAACTTTTCTTCTTCATCCATATGTGGTGACCATATCCTGCCCTTCTCTATACCTTCGACCTACATTACTTCTCTCAGCCTCCACATCTTCTCTCTCCCATCGAAGCCATTCTCTAAGGCCTGATTCAACTTCCATTTGAAATCTTTCTCAATGACTCTGTCATCAATGTGCCTTTATTTAATTTCTGTAACAATTTTATTCCCCATTACATATAGCACTTGCTTTATATACTATGATGCTGTCTTACGTGTATTAGGGCATAATACACATATCTGATACTTGGGCTCTTCTCCTGTCTCTCCCCAAGATATACAGCCAAGTGTATGCATGTAACACCAAAACACATATTATATAAAGTATTTAGTAAAAACTGATTTTTTATGAATTATCAGAACAGGCTCAGGGTTTTCTTATATATCGTCAAGCTGTTTGTTGAAAAACCAGAGCCAGTTGAGGTTAGAGGCCATCTGGAATGTGAAGAACTAGATTTAACACAGAGCAGCCTTTAAAACAAATACCAGAAATGAGCATGTGAAGCAGAGTGTGGGGGAACTTTGTATGAGCCTTGGATCACAGGTCCAGAAGTACTGCTGGGCTGGAGATGTAGCTCAGTGGTAGAGCATTTGCCTAGCATGCCCAAGGCTGAGTTTGAGCTCCAGCAGGAAAGAAAGAAAAAAAGGAAGGAAGGAAGGCTGGGCATGGTGGTGCACACCTATAATCCCAGCACTCCGGAGGCTGAGGTAGAAGTTGCAAGTTCAAGACCAGCCTGGGCTACAAAGTGAGCTCAAAACCAGCCTGAACTGTATGGCGAGACCCTGTCTCAAAAAGAGCAAAAAGAGGGGCTGGGGATTTAGCTCAGCAGCACAGCACCTGCCTGGCAAAGAAATCCTTCTGCCATCTCCCTACCCTTAGCTGCCCCTCCTGTTCCCCTTGAGTTGTGATTTTGTGTGTGCCCTTTCTAAAGCACTGCAAGCATAAAAGATGATACACTTCTACTCACTCCAGAATGAAGGGAAAGTGGCTTTATCATTAGCCAACCAAAGCTGTCCGAGAACCTTTTAAAACTATTTTGGGAGGTAGTGGTAACTTTTCTAAACACTCTGATTCAGAAAGAGGTTTTTTTTAAGTTTAAAAAAAAACTTTAGTGTTGTTTCCATGGAAAATCCCACTGGGCTATTTTATCATGTGAGAAGGAATGATTCTAACTGTAGGGCTCACTTACTAAAATATAGTTTAGGGCCAGGGATATAGTTCAGTGGTAGAGTATTTACGGAAGTTCAATCCCTGCCAAAGGCTGGGTTTTGGGATTGATCTAAAGGTTTGATCTCTAGCACTTTAAATATAAATATGTATAATATATAAAAATGATCTATAAAATATATTAGCTATCTATTATAATGCTATATTAATTGTATATTATATAATTTAAGTATTATTCTATCATTCAGCCTAGTTGTTTGGGATAGGAGATGAATCTCTGAAATGACAAAGAATGGAAGATCGTCATAACAGAGTTAGGATGCCAGGGATGATGACATATACCTGTAATCCCAGCACCAGAGAGGCTGAGGCAGGAGGATCACCATGAGTTCGAGGCTAGCCTAGGCTACGTAGTAAATTCAGGCTCAGCCTGAACTACACAGTGGGACCCTGTTTCAAAAAAAAGGATGGGGAAACAAGATGAATCTAGAAAAGGCAGAGTAGGGAGAAAGAAGCTCAAATTTTAAATTCACGTTGCTTCAAAAGCTCCCATGGGTTACCAAGGGTCTTTGTCTCTCTAAGAGCAGAGGCTTTGTGTTAAGGAAAAAGATTTGTACAACCCCTGTGGGAATATTTTGGTCGGTAAATCTAAATCCAAATATCCTGGTTTCCGGAATTAGCTCTGGGCCCAGGTCTGTGTGAATTTAGTCCTATTGTTTGCGGTTTCCTTTTCTAGCTCATGGAATCCCTGTCCTGTTCCCCAGTTGTCTGGAATGCCTCCAGAAGGTAACAGGCCTGTACCTCAGTGACCATCATTTCTTATGGTAGCTCTAGCATATCACCCACCTCTCAGTTTCTTTCTCCCTCTTTCTGTCTCCCTTCCTTCCTTCCTTCCTTCCTTCCTTTCTTTCTTTTAATTTTGTTTGTGTTTTTGAGACAGGTTCTTTCTATATAGTTCAGGCTGGCCTTGAACTCACTATGTCGCCCAGGCTGGCCTCAAACTCACAGTGATCCAGCTTGGTCCTCAGTTTCTTTTCTTTTTCTTTTTTTTCTTTTTTGAGACAAGGTGTTGCTGTGTAGTTGAGTTCACTATGTAGCCCAGGCTGGCCTCGAACTTGCAGCAGTTCTCCTGCCTCTGCCTCCCAAGTGCTGGGATTGGATTACAGGTGTGCGCCACCACGCCAGGCCTTAGTTTCTTCTCTTTTTCAGATATTAACACTCATATGTTTATACCTCCTCACTTCAGACCTAACCAGGAGTAAGTTTTAAAAGAAAACACTGCTTAACTCTATAGTGTTTGACTTCACATGTACTTGATTTCAGCAGCATGGTAATTTTGTTTTGTTTTGTTTGTGGGCAGTGGGTGGTAAAGGAAGCAAGAGTGCTGAGAGAAACGTGGGTAATGGAGAGTCACACACAAAACATTGTGCTGTCTTCCCCCTGCTGGCCTCGAGGCAGCACAGCACAGACATCTTCTCGTGGCCTAGCACCAGTCTTCACCTGCTACAGCTCCTTAAATCAAATTGTCTTAACACAGACCCTCTGTTTCCAAGTGAAAACGCATTTTCTGTGTACTCTGAAGTTTTAATTTCAGATCAAAACTAAAACAGAATTTCCTTTTCGTGTCTACAGATCAAACTCCTACTCCGACTAGATTCCTCAAGAACTGTGAGGAGGTGGGGCTCTTCAATGAACTGGCTAGCTCCTTCGAGAAAGCTGCAGATGAGGATGAGAAAAAGGCAAGAAGTGGGCCTTCTGCAAAATAAAAAAAAAAGAAAAAACCACTGGTGCTGTTCAGACCTAGATTACTTATACTGTATCTTGGGATAATTTAATTGGTTAAAATGTAAAAACCATGGCAGTGGTTCTATAGAACCAGATAATACTAATCCTAAGTAAACATCCAGGTCTTTAGAGGATCCAGATGATGGATCAGCACAGTTCTGTCTTCACCAAAAATCAATCCTTCTGCTCTCCAGCATAGTATTAGGTCAGTAATCTGTTGTTGAAAACTAGGTTCAGCATCATGGTGCACACTCGCTGTCCATGCTGTCTGGGAGGCTGAGGCAGAAGGAGCACCGGTTCAAGACCAGCCTGGGGAATTCAGCAAGACCCTGTCTCAAAAATAAAAAAATAAAAATAAAGGCTCAGTGCAAAACCTTGAGTTCAATCCCCTAGACCCGCCTCCAAAAAAAAGTTTTAAGTCTTTCTTACGTCCTGTTTAGCTGGGTTGATGTTTGTGGAAGGCCATTTCATAGGTGATCAGGCCTTTTCTCCGTGGGCATCCTGTGGTTCTCCCACCTGCCTGGGAGTGGTCTTCACCTCCTCTGATGAGATGCACGCAGTGTAATACCATCTCCGGAGTGTTTTTGTTTTTTTGGTTTTTTGTTTTTTTCCGGTACCGGGAATCAAACTCAAAACCTCGCGCTTGCCAGGCAGGCACTGTGTCGCTGAGCTAATCCCCAGCCCCTAGGAGTGTTTAATGAGCCTGAAACTTTCCTGAACCACAGCTGTTCTTTTTTGTTTTTTTTGAGACACATTCTCTCTATGTAGTTTATTCTGGCCTTGAAGTCATTATGTAGCCCAGGCTGGCCTCAGACTCACTGCAGCCCTCTTACCCAGCCTCCTGAGTGCTGGGATTGTAGGCGCATGCCACCCGCCCCGTTGCAGACCCAGAGCTTTTCTAGATTGCCCCTGGAGATTTCCAACCTCTGGCTGTATTTATAGAAGCCTCTCCTGCCCACCAGTCTCTGACTTCGGGGATTTCAGAATTAGCTAAAGAGAGCTTGGCATCTTAGCAACCTGAAACAATGAGGCGGAAGTGAAGCCATGTTCACTGTTGCTGTCCCTCATCAGCTTGCAGAAGAGCCGTTACTGCCGTGGTTAATTGTAGTGGGCACCAGCTTATCTCTGGCTGACTCAGCCGGCTGTCCAAAAGGCTTCTGGGGATTAAGGTAGCAAGAAGAGGTTGACACAAACTCCTCTTTCATGAGGAAGCCTAGGATATAGGAAGAATAGAACAAAGAATCCACTTTGTCTTGAAACCAAACAGCAGTGCCAGCTCCCCTGTTGTGGTGCGGTGTCAGAGCAGTTATCTCAGATGGTTTCCCATTCCCTGCAGAGCCATTCACAGCTCCACAGTGCTGTAAGGTGATCCACCACTGCCAGGAAGATACTCTTTCTGCTTACTGGCTTCTCCAGGCCTGCTCCGAAGACCAGGTTCTAATTTCCTCACTGATCAGATAATCAGCCTTTCCTTTCTCTGTTACCCCAAAACCCTATCTGTTTGAAACATCTACCCCTCAGCCCCAGATTTTAAGGTGAGGCAATCATCAAGCATGGCAAGTTCCCTAGAAAAGACCTTTCTTATCTTGTTTGCAGTATTTAACAGCCAGTTTGTCTTTGTTTACTTTTGATAATTGGGTAATCTAGTCATTCTGGTTGGCAAAGAAAGTACTCACAGCTCTCCAGTGATCCCTGGGAGAGCACGTTGGGAATAAGCAAGCACTTGATTCAGAAATTATTTTATTCCAGCTGGGGGTGGTTGTGCATGCTTGTAATCCCAGCACTCGGGAGGCTGAGACAGGCGGATCATGGCAAGTTCAAGACCAGCCTGGACTACAAAATGAGCTCACAGCCAGCCTGAACTGCATAGTGAGACCCTGTCTCAAAAAGACCAAAAAGAAAAAAAAAAATTATTTTATTCCTGAACAAGATTATAATCAAAATATTTGTATGATACCTGTTTTGTCTGTTTTCAAGTCTTTATACGCATTTGCTTATCACCAGTGTTCACTTTATTTTATAGTTGGGGAAACAGAAACCCTGAGAAAATAAAGGATTGGTAAGAGTGACACATAAGGCATAGGGCACACATTCTATGACTTGCAATTCAGTGCTTTGGCCATGGGCTAAACACCTGAAAAGCATATGGTCTTGTTTGTGACTGGAAAGATAGAGGTTCAGTCTGAAGGGAATCGAGAGCTTAAATTCTGTTCATTCTCTTTCCTAATAGGGAGCTGCTGGGCCCCTGGACATGTCTCTGCCTTCCACCCCAGACATCAAGATCAAAGAAGAGGAGCCGGTGGAGGTGGACTCATCCCCACCTGACAGTCCTGCCTCCAGCCCCTGCTCCCCACCACTGAAGGAGAAGGTAAACTCTGCAGGGGGTCACCACAGATGCTAACTGATAGAGGGTTTTGAGTCGTAAATAGTGAAGGTGTAGGAGGATTGAGTGTAAATACAGGGTCTTACTTAATTGCTTTTCTATTTTTTTTTTTTGGTACCGGGAATTGAACTCAGGACCTTGGGCTTGCCAAGAAGGTGCTTACTCCTCTGAGCTGTATCCCTAGCCCACTTAATTGCCTAGGTTGGGATCAAATTTATAATCCTCCTGCCTCAGCCTCTCAGAGTGCTGGGATTACAAGCAAGTTAAAAGTTAAACCTTTTCTTTTACCCAGCAGTTCTGAGTCCAAATAGAAGAGAAATTAGTGCATATGTGTACCAGAAGAAGTTTTTAAGAATGTTCATAGCAGTTTTATTCATAAGAGCGAAAAACTGGAAAAATTCCAAATGTCCATCAACCGTAGAATGATTAAATTATGGAAGGCTGGGAGCATAACTCAGTGATAAAATATCTGTTTAGCATGTGAAAAGGCCAAAATTCAATTCCAGCACAATAGATAGGTAGGTATTTCTAAAATGGGATACAATGTGACATTAAATAAGAATGAGGCTGGGGGACAAGTATGGTGGCGCACACAGGTAATCCCAGCACTTGGGAGCCTGAGGCAGGAAGATCACTGTGAGTTCAAGGCCAGCTGGGGCTACAAAGTGAGTTCAAGGCCAGGCTGAACTGCGTAGGGAAACCCTATCTCAGACAAAAAAAAGAATGAGGCTGGGTGTGGTGGTGTACACCTGTAATCCTAGGACTCTGGGAAAGCTGAGGCAGGAGGATTGCAAGTTCAAGCCCAGCCAGTTTAGCAAATTAACAAAACTCTGTCTCAAAAAATAAAAAGGGGTGGGGATGTTCCTCAGTGCAGATCCCCTAGGTTCAGTCCCCAGTACCACAAACAAAACAAAAACCAGTGGACTGGACTGGTGATGTAGCTCAGAGGCAGAGCACCTGGCTACCATGTGCAAGGCCCACTGTAGAAGGAAAGAGAAAGGTTGTGGGGAATGAACTGATTACACAGCAATGTAGTTAAACCTCACGAACATATTAAACAGAGTCAAGCACAAAAGGACATACTGTATGATTCCATTTATATTAGGTTCAAGAAGATGAAAAGTATTTGATGATAGAACCTTGAGCAGCATGTACTAGGCTGCGTGGGTGGCACATGCTGCTGCTGGTCCTAGCTACTTGGAATGTGAAGACAAAAAGATCAGCTGAAGCTTGGAGTTCAAGATAGTCTAAGTAACAGCCAAGCCCTCTGTCAGGGGAAGAAAAATGAGTACTGCTTACCTCTTGTGAAGGAAGGGCATGGAGCCCGGTGTGGAGGCATATACCTGTAATCCCAGTACCCTGGGAGGCTGAGGCAGAAAGACTGAAAGTTGAAACCCACCTTGGGCAATTTAGTAACTTAGTGAGACTTTGTCCCCCAATTTTTTTTTTCCAAAATTTTTTTTACAGCCGGGGATGTAGCTCAGCGGCACAAGCCCCTGCCTGGCAAGCGCAAGGTCCTGAGTTCAATTCCCAGTACAAAAAAAAAAAAAAAAGACAAAAAAAGGGCCGGGGATATATAGCTCAGTGGCATAAGCACCTGCCTGGCAAGCACAAGATCCTGAGTTCAATTCCCAGTACCAAAAAAAAAAAAATTTTTTTTTAAAGGAAATGTGGCCAGATATGTATCTCATTGTGGCAGTTTGGGATTTAGTCCCTAGTTCTCAAAAACAAAAAAGAAAAGAAAGAAAGGGCATGGACTGAGAAAGTACACAGGAAAACCTTCTGGGGTGCTGGAAATAGTCTGTGTTCTAATTTTACATATGCAGAAAGTCTGTTGCAATGACTTCAGATTAATGCACTTAGGGTTTACATATTATACTTCAATTAATAAGTGGAAAAGAAAAATTTACATAAGTTGGACATTAAACAATTTACTAAACAGTCTTCTCAGAGGGAAGTAACTCAAAGGGAGTATCTACTAGAGTAATCACTAGGATTCTCACTACTATTATTTTTATTACTTTTTTATTTTTTTGGTCCTTTTGAGACAGGGTCTCACTATGCAGTTCAGGCTGGTCTTGAGCTCACTTTGTAGCCCAGGCTGGTCTCAAACTCACAACAATCCTTTTGACTCAGCCTCCTGAGTGCTGGGATTACAGATATGCACCACCATACCCGGCTTTTTTATTACTTTTTGTTTTTGTTATTTTATTTATTTATTTATTTATTTTTTGTCTTTTTGAGACAGGGTGTCGCTGTGCAGTTCAGGCTGGCCTTGAGCTCACTTTGTAGCCCAGGTTGGTCTCGAACTCACAATGATCCTCCTGTCTCAGCCTCCCGAGTACTAGGATTACAGGCATGCGCCACCACGCCTGGCTTTTTATTACTTTTTAAAAAACACTTTAAATGAAGTTTATTTTTTTGGGGGGGGGGTGGGTACCGGCCATCAAACTCACAACCTTGTGCTTGCCATGCTAGCGCTTATGCCACTGAGCTATATCCCCAGCCCTAAATGAAGTATTTTTATAAATTTATTATAGTACGCACACAGATAAGTACATATATAACTTATTTAATTTTGACATAGTAGTCTTCTTTTTTTTTTTGTCTTTTTGAGACAGGGTCTCACTATGCAGTTCAGGCTGGCCTTGAGCTCACTTTGTAGCCCAGGCTGGTCTTGAACTCTCAACAGTCCTCCTGCCTCATCCTCTTAATTACAGGTGGGATTACAGGTGTGCGCCACCATGCCCAGAATTAGTAGTCTTTTAGACCAAGAACCCAGATTTTAAAAATATCAGAAGTTCTGAGGCCCCCTTAGGTCTCCTTCCAGGCTCTACTGCTCTATCAGTGGTTATTAATTCTAACATCTATTGTGGATAGAACAGCTGTATCGCATCTTCCCTCCAAATTTGGCTCGATAACTTCTCAGTACCTTTCCATAAACATTACAACTCTCTCATCAGCAGCCAGGTCCTCAAGACAGTCTGGGTATGCTTTCTTTTTTTCATTTTTCCTTGTACTGGAAATCGAACTCAAGACCTTGTGCTTGCCAGGCAGGCGCTTGTGCCACTGAGCTACATCCCCAGCCCTGGATAGCCTCTCAAGACCAGTATGGCCAAGATCCTGACAGATTAAGAGAAAGAAGCACTTTGTTTAATGCAGTATGATCACTGCTCAAGCTTCCGTGGATCAATCTTTGGTGAATGCTTTATAGAAAATGAACTGGGTTGCCTCGTCACCTGTATAACTGCCTTTTCCTCTTGGAGGTCTGAGCATCAAGTTCAGAGGAAGAGTGTCTAGATAGTGAAAAATTACAACAATCCCTCAAAGTTCATGGTACTACAGTACATACATCTCTGAAGATTTCAAGTGATTTCCCACTGTCATCTCATTTACGTAGCCATCATGCCCGAGGGGAAAGTGGCTAAGAGACTAACTCGGCATCCTACTGAGCGGGCGAGTGAAGTGTGGGCCCAGGCTTGTGATGGAACCCAGTTGTGATTTGCATAAGCGACTGTAATGTTCTTTCTAATAAATTTGTAGTAGGTTTTACTAGCTACTGGTATATTTGCCTATAAATAGCACCCCTTAAAGCATTGTGATTTGTTGGTCTCTTCTCCTCAGGAGGTTGCCCCAAAGCCTGTTGTGATTTCTACCCCGACACCCACCATCGTACGTCCTGGCTCCCTGCCTCTCCACTTAGGCTATGATCCACTTCATCCAACCCTTCCCTCCCCAACCTCTGTCATCACACAGGCTCCACCGTCTAACAGGCAAATGGGGTAAGTAAAGAGAGCAGGGAGGAGCAGGGAAGCCTGAATCTCTTTCAACTTCGTGAAGTTATCTGATAAAATAGGAACTGTTTTTTGAATACCCAAGGAGAATGAGTTAACTAAGATTGTTCCTCAAAGTAAATAGTTAGAGCTAGGGTTGGAGCTTGTGACAGAACACTAGCCTAGCATGTGTGAGGCCCTGTTTTGTCTCTAGCATAGGGCAAGTAACTAAATAAATAATTTCCCATAAACAGAATCTCCTTTGCCTGTTTTAGTAGTTGAGCATATACTGACTTGGGGATAATACATCTGTAATTTGGAGACTTAACATTTCCTTAATCTAGAAAAGAGGAACCCTTAAAGCTTTTGGGAGTTCATCATAATGGTAGAGGTCACACAGGAAGTATATTTAGTTCTCAGCCTCATCCCTTTGGAGTGGGTGAAAGGCTGGACCCTTCAACTCATCTTCTTTGAATCGAGTGTTCTTCTCAGCCCCAAGTTAGGGTTCTTGGTCTTTACTCCCCCTAATTTTGTTTTTATATCTCTTTTTACTCCTGGCATGATCCATGCAAGTTTTCTGATGGGATGGCTTCAGATCCCCAGGTACCCATGGGTTAAGAAGTTGTTATCAGGATTTAGCTTCTTAAAGCTTATTATTCTCTCGACCCACTAGGAAATTTAAAAGAGGAACTTCTCTTTTGGACAGAAGAGCAAACCACGGAAAAGAACAAGAGAAACTTACTCAGATTTGACTATGTATGACATAGTTCATCTATGCAAAATGACAACTTTGATCCAGCTTCCCCTTGCCTAAGGCAAGATAAAATGTATACAGGCCAGTGGTAGGGATGTTTAGTTAATTGTTCTAAACCTTTAAGAAGATTACCCTCCTGCTGGTTGAGTTTGCTTAATTGGCAAGGTATAGAATTTTCCATGCTGGAAAATAGCTCAGTGGTAAAGTACCCTCCAAGCCCTGGGTTCTGTCCCCAGGACCGTCACCATCAAAAAAAAAAAAAGATGCCTTTGCCATTTCTCTTCTTCTGCAAGTTAAGTAGCATTTTTTGTTCTTCCCATTGTAAAGAGGGTGTCCAGACTTTACAATGCTGTATGCCTTCCTTAACTAGAAAAGACTGGAAAATCTGTTCTAATTATAGGAGGAAGAGCCATAGGCAAAAGATCTGTTTTTCACTTTATGTCTCCTATAGGTCTCCCACTGGCTCCCTCCCTCTCGTCATGCATCTTGCTAATGGACAGACCATGCCTATGTTGCCAGGGCCTCCGGTACAGATGCCTTCTGTTATATCGGTGAGCTCTGATGTTGGGGCAGCCACTCCTACCACACACTAATCCCTCCTTCCACCCTCCTTTCCTCTGTCATAATCACAGAGGGGCTGCAGGGAAATGTGGGCTCTGGTCTATATTAGTTGAGTAGGGGAGCCTGCCCAAACTCTTCACTAATCTCTGCCAACCCAGCACTGTGGAACGTTAGACAAAGACTCATCTGGACAATTGGCTCCTGGTCTAGGAATTGATCTTGCCAGCCTGGTGATTGGTTGATTTTACTTGGCACACAGTACCCCTCAAATTGCCACCACTTTCCTCAAGATGTAACTGTACCCTTTCACTCAGCAGTTTCCTCAACACTGAAGGATTAGATTCCCTATCCGGTCGTGCTCCGTGGAGAAAGTAGTTCCTAAGCTGTCCCTATAGCCCTTTGGGAAGGTTGCACAGAACAGGCCTAACATGCCAGTGCTTCTGAGACAATAGTATTCTATCTCCTGGGTTTCTTCCTTTCTCTTGATCCAGCTGGCCAGACCTGTGTCCATGGTACCCAACATTCCTGGTATCCCTGGCCCACCAGTTAACAGCAGTGGTTCAATTTCTCCCTCTGGCCACCCTGTGCCATCAGAAGCCAAGATGGTGAGTAGATCTCCGCTTGGGGTAATGTTGGCCCGTCTGAAAGAAGTGGTATCAGCCTAGATTTTTGAAGTGAGCTGAGCAAAGGAATCTTCTGGGGCTTGCAAAGCTAAGGGCACCCTGCTGTGGGATTTGAAAAAGAAAAGACCCTGATTCATGACTCTCATCTCCTCTCCCTACCTTTAGAGCCTGATACATAGACCATGGCAGTGAAAAGAGGCAGCACAGATTGTTTGGAATGGAATACTTGGCATTTTCATTCCAAGGTGACAGATGGAGAGTGGGTGAGTGGGCAGGGGAGCTGGCCAAGAGGTGAATAGCTGCATAACCAGCATCTGGCCAGGCTCCAGGAGAGAGCTTTCATCTGGCCTCTTTTGCTTCAACAACCCCCAGCCCCCAACTGTGCCCAGGATGATAGCCAGGGAACAGAGTAGGCATTTTAGGGATCCAGGTGCACATTTTCTCTCGCTGTCATTTTCTTTTAATTCCTCTGTTAAGAGAAAATTAGAATGGAAATTTTAACATTCTGTAAGGTCAGAAATAGAATCTAAATCCATCCCACTCATCCTTGATAGAATATGAATGACCCTTGACAAGATATTTTTTCTTACCTTTCCATACAGAAACTAAAAGCTTCCCTCACCCACCAAGTCTCCTCAATCAATGGTGGTTGTGGAATGGTGGTGGGCACTGCCAGCACCATGGTGACAGCCCGTCCAGAGCAGAGCCAGATCCTCATCCAGCACCCCGATGCCCCATCTCCTGCCCAGCCACAGGTCAGTACAGCCCTTGGATGGGAGGAACCAGCTGTGATACTCTTACCCTTTATGACCTGTCTCTTTTTTGCAGGGGACACAAAATTAGAGAAGAATGGATTTCAGCTTCCTAGGTACCTTTCTGCTACTTTGGTTCTTGTGACAATTTGATTACAGCAAAACACATCATTCTTTACCCATGTGTTAGCTGCACATGCAAATAGACTGAATGACAGAGAGGTTGCAGAGGATACCTCTGATTTTGTTTTTTGGTGTTTTTTTTTTTCAACATATGAATGCTAATGTATTTGTTTTCCAGAATCCTCTGAAATATGACATCACCTCAAGCCACATTATGGATTAAACAAAGAAAATTCCCCTAGGCCCATCTATTAAGTCTTAGGAAAAAAAAAAAATGACTTACCTGATTAGGTTTTATTTTTAAAAAAACACAGTATACTAATACAGTGTGATATTACAGTATTAAGATGGCTCAGTAAGCTGATGGGATGGTGGGTGGTACATGTCTATAATCCTAGCCCTCTGGGAGGCTGAGACCAGAAGGATTACAAGTTCAAGCCCAATCTCAAAATCAAAAAGAGCAGAGGATACAGCTCAATGCAAAGGCCCTGGGTTCAGTCCCAAGCACACACAAAAAAAAGGTGGCCCAAGTGAAAGAATAAGAAAACCTGTACATCTCTTTATCACAGAGAAATAAAAACCCTCAAGCCAGAGGACTTCCATTTAACTGCCTGATTCTCTTCTTAAGAAGATCTCAATTTTAACAAAATTCTTTGGAAACCAAAATCTCATCAGTTTTCATAGCAGTCTGCACCGGGCAGGGGACAGTGACCTGAGATTGGTTTCTGGAGTTCATTCTTTGCCCAGTTCCCCTTCCTGATGTCACCCCCTGCTTCATCGGTTACCGCCACATGTCCAGACATTTCATGGCCATATGCTGCCTTAAAGCTTGGCCAACAATACAAGCTTTCATTTGAGTTTTCTTGTTGGAAGCTAAGTCTTTCCAGCCTTTTGTATCCCCCACCCCAAAGCCAGCCAGTCCAAGAGATGCTAAAGTAGTACCCTCCTGCCCAATCTGCACTCCTTTCTCAGGGAAAAGACATGGCTTCCTTTTTATTTTTTTTTCCAAAGGAAAAGTCTTCATTGTAAGGATTCCCATCATGACAAATGATGACCCACTTGAGCTGGGTGGGGTGGTCCATGGCTGGGATCCCGGCTACCTAGGAGGCTAAACAGGAGGATCACAAGTTTGAGACCAGCTTGGGCAACTTAGTGAGACCGCTTTCAAAAGAAAATATAAAGGTTCAGAAAGGCTGGGGCCTGGGCCCTGCCTGTTCTCCTGGGGCTGCCTGCAGCCTGGGCCCCAGGAAAAGGCTGACCTAGACCTTGAGCCAGGGAGGTACCGGGAGGTACCAAGACCCCACAGCTGTTCAGAGGGAAAGCGTCGGTGTCCAGAGGAGGAGAAGGAGGCTGCCAGTTTCACCACAGCATGCTGGTGGCTGAGTGTGGTAGATCCTGTCCCTAAGGCCACTGAAGCCACAGATCAGGTGGCACTGGCCCTGTGGACACAGCAACTGAACCCTCAGTCCATTCCCAAGACTCTGCTCCTTATCTGCAGCCGGGACCTCCTCCTGAAAGAGGAGATACCATGACAGTTCTGAGCCCTCCTGTCCCCACAGAGAACCATAGCATGAAATGGCTTCTCACATACCGTCTGCCACTCCAGGTCCCACACCTGGGCTTCCAGATGCCTTCCTTCATTGCCCTAACAATGGAAAATAACAAGTCGGTTTAAAGAAAATGAAAAGTCATTTATTCTGAGCTAAATAAAAGTGACCACAGCCTGGGAATAAGGACGCAAGGCACTCTCTGAAGTACAGTTTACCTGAACGTTTATAGACCAAGAACAGAGGAAGTGGTGAGTCAGTGCATGCCCGAACATAGCAGTGGGCTCGAGATACAAGTTATCCACTTCAAATTGTGGAAGTTTGAATGAAGTAGTCGCAGTATTTGATGAGATTCTAGTCCAAGAGATTTTGGGCCCAAAGAAATTAACATTCCTGGACACGTTAAGGCCAGTAGCAACATCACCAACAGGAAGAACAAAGAAAAAAAAGTCTGTCTGAAAGAGAATTGTCAGGACAGTGCTCCTATGAAGCGTGAGAACCAGTTCTTTCCTGGATACAGGGACAGTTTTTTCTCTGATGAAGAGAAAGAAACTCTTTAGGAGACTAAAAGCGTCTCCATGCTAAAGAACATCATCAACACCCTTCAAAGGGTGCTAAGGGGAGACCTCAAGAAACAGCACAGGCTGCACGCGAGCATGCTGAGGGCCAGGTATCTGCACAGGGGCAGAAGGAGCCTGCCCTGAGCTCCCGGAAGATGGCCAGGGTGGAGACCCTTGCCAGCTGACAGCGCACTGAATAAAATCACCATTGTTTAAACATGAAAAAAGAAATTTAAAAGGGCTGGATAGATAGCTCAGTGCAGAAGCCCTGGGTTCGTTTTATAGTTAAACAAACAAAAATAACCTCCTGTACAAACTTTAAGCATCCTCATTACATTTTTAAAAATATGTGCTTTGACAGTATCTAGGTCATAACAGTCTCTTCCCTGCATCCCCAGATGAGATACTAGCTGGCCACACTTCCGGGTAGAGATGTGGTAGTTTGCTTGTTGAGTTTTTGGATTGTGTTGGTGGGGAGAAAACACATTTTATTACTTGTTACAACCATCCTAGGTTGCTAAAGTATATTTAAACATACAGTAGACAATCTACATAGCAGGTTGCTAAAGTATATTCTCTAGTAATTCTTTCAAAGAGGGTACTGAATTCATCAATATCAAAACCAGTCTTTGTTTTCTCAAAATTAAATGTCAGTTTGGCTGGATACTGGATTTGAGGCTGGAAGCCCATCTCTGCAAGGCTCTTACGCTATTGCCCCACTGACTTCTAGCATCCAGCAGCTCAGGGAGAAATCTGCCATCAGCCAGATTCTTCTCTCCTGGGAAGCCTTCCAGATTTTCTTTTTCTCACTGGAACTCCAGAACATCACCAAGATATGTGTAGGAGTAAGTCTTCTCTCATCAGCCATGCTGGGGACTTGAGTTGTGACAACTTCAAGACTTTAGTCCTTCCATAGCTCCAAAAGGTTTTCAGTTATTTCTTTAATAAGATCTGCTCCATTCTCTTTTGTATCTTTTTCTGGAACTCTTTTATCAAATGGATGTTGGAGCCTCTGTATCTGTCCTCTCTAACGTATAGTTTTTCTTTATTCATTAGCTGCTTGGACATTTGTATTGCATCCTTAGATACTTCTTCCATTTGGTTGTCTAGATTGCTTGCTCTTTCCCTGAGTATGCCTACCTGTTAAGTAGATCATCTACTGAATGTTTAATTTTTAAATGTCTGGATGGTATTTCCTTATATTCTCCATCTCTTCTTGTGTCTCTTTCAAAATGCTGATCACTCTTCTGAAGTTTTCTTCTGTTTCTTGGATTAACTCTGTTTGTACGGTCTTTTGTCTCTCTGTGTTTCCCCGTAAAACTTAGTGACTCCAGATGGAGCATTCAGATTTGTGAATGAACCCCTTTCATGCTTATCAGAACTTCTCGATAGTGATTTTGAGAGAAAGGTCAAATGCAAGATCAGACAGAGTACCTCAGGTCCTTGACCTCTGGAAACAGCTGTTTCCTCTTCCTCCTCGATGTTGTGTAGCTCCTGGAGCCTCACAAATGTTTCCTTCTCTCTGACTGAATAACTGTAAGCAGTTTCCTTCCACAGCAGTCAGGCCTCTTCTCGTGCTTGGGTTTCCTTCTCCCTCCTGCTGCTGCTGCTCCTCCTCTTCCTCCCGTTCCTCCTCCATTTCAGACTTTCTTCTTCCCTCATCCCTGAGTTTTCTTCTCTCTCCTCTTCCTCTTTCCCTTCCTCTTCATCCCCTCAGATTTCTTCTTCCTGTTCCTCCTCCATTCCAGAGTTTTCTTCTCCCTCCTCTGCTAGCCATGAGGCCTCCTGCTCCTCCATCTTGGAGCTTTATTTTCCATCCATTCTGAAGTCACTAGCTCCTCCCCTTAGGCTTAGCAGCTTTTACCTCTTTAATGAATCAGAAGCTCAAGACATCACTTGCTGGGCCTCTAGCTTCACACTTTAAGGCTTTTAGAGGTTCACCCCCTTTTCTTTGCACCCTATATAGTCTTCGTCCTTGATGTGAGTTTGCATTCTATGGAAGAACATCTTTCAGCAAATCTTTCATAAAAGCCTTTTGACTAGTAGATTTTCTGACCCTTTGCAGGTCTGAAAATGCCTTTATTTCACCATCACATTTAAATGCTAATTCAACCTTGCATAGAAATTTAGGGTCAAGCTGTGTGTGGTGGCACACGCCTGTAATCCCAGCACTCAGGAGGCTGAGGCAGAAGGATCGCTGCAAGTTTGAGGCCAGCCTGGGCTCATAGTGAGTTCAAGGCCAGCCTGAGCTACATAGCGAGACCCTGACTCAAAAATCCCAAAAAGAAAAAATTAATTAATGAAGAGTTACAGCCATTTTTCCTCAAAATGCTACTGATGAGATACCATTGCTTGCTGACGTCCAGTGTTGCTGACAAGAAGTCTGCAGCCAGGGTCAGGAAGGTCCCTTCAGGGGCTGGGAATTTAGCTCAGAGGCACAGCGCCTGCCTGGCAAGCGCAAGGTCGTGAGTTCGATTCCCGGTACCGGAAAAAACAAACAACAACAACAAAAAAAAACCAATATCCTCATGTATTTTACAGTCTTCTACTATTTTCTCCACCAACTCTGTTTTTGGTGAGGCTAAATCTTTCACTTCTCCCCACTCCTTCCTACTACTGCAGTTCTTTGAATTTATCACTTCAGGTATTGTGATTTTTGTTTCTAAATTTCTCTTGTTATTTGTAAGGGTCTCCATCATCTTTTCAAACATAAAATCCTGCTTTTCTTTCAAGAACTCAAACTTAGCCAGGCATGGTGGTGCATGCCTGTTATTGCAGCACTTGGGAGACTGAGGCAGGAGGATCGTTGGGAGTTTGAGACCAGCCTGAACTGCATAGTGAGACCCTGTCCCAAAAAGACAAAAAAAAAAAACTTGTTCCTATCCTATCACCTGCTGGTGAGTCTCAGTACTCTGAGTCCAGTACTAGGGCCGTTGCCTTCTCAGTCTCCATGGATGCCCTTCTTCCCTCTAGGAGACTTTTTCCTGTTCCTTTGCCCATCTCGCCAGCTTGGATTAGACCCTGGACATTGTGGCTATGTTGTCAAAATTTTCTCTCCTTGAAGAGTAAGTTTGTTCTTGCACTCTGGGTAAACTCCAGAAATTCAAAATTTTAAAAGTCATCCACTCTGCAGCAGCTGCAGGGAGGAAGCCTCCCTTAGCAGCAGGACACGTCCAGCCTGTAGTTGGCTCAGCACCTATCATCTACACCCGGTGTAGATTGCTCCCCACGAGGCCTCAGGTTAAATGAAGGAGCAAGGGGTCGGTGGCCTCCTTCGTAGCCATCACTGATTCTGTTTCTCCCATCCTATCCTGCTTCCTCTGCATGAGTGTGTGAGTGCTTATGAGACAGCAGGAACTTAGTCCCTTTCCTTCGTCTTTTACCAAGTGCTCCAGTGAGCTCAAGACAAATAGAAGGTTGAAATTCTCAGGTGAATTTTTGTAAATTTGTTTCTTTTTTTTTTTTTCCTCAGTTTTTGTTGTTTTGGTGTTTGTTTTGTTTTTTGGAACAGGGTCTTATTAACAGTGTGTATTCTAGGCTGGCCTTGAACTCACTGTGTAACCCATGCTGGCCTCATACAGCAGTCCTGCCTCAGCCTTCTGAATGCTAGGATTATAGGTGTATAGCATGAATGTTTGTAATTTTTTTTAAATTAAGTTTATTGGTACATTTTAGATACACATAAGGATCACATTCATCGTAGGGAATTTGTACCTGTACATGATATATCTTGATTCCTCTTTTTTTACCATTCCTCATCCCCTCCCTTCAACCCTTCTTCCTTGCCTTATTTGCAAAGCTTTGTTTCCATTTTATCCTTCTTTTCTCATTTTTTTCTTTTCATTTCCTTCCTTTCCTCCTTCCCCCTACCTAGTTCCCCTTTCCTTTGGAACATATAAATTTCTTCTTCTTTATTTTTCTTTATTTTATTTATTTATTTGTTTTTGGTACCAGGGATTTAACTCATGACCTTGTGCTTGTCAGGCAGGTGCTGTGCCACTGAGCTATATCCCTGGCTTGAACATGGAAATTTCTTAAAGGGTCTTCCGTTAGTACAGTGTTCCCAGGTCTCTAGGTCATTAAATGACTTTAAAATTTACCCTCCATTTTTTTCTTTCAAGAGAGGTAATGTTACTAGGCATGGGGGTGCACACCTGTAATCCCAGCACTCAGGAGGCTGAAGCAGGAGGATTGCTGCAAGTTTGAGGCCAGCCTGGGCTGTATAGTTAGTTCAGGGGCAGCCTGAACTGTACAGCAAGACCCTGTCTCAAAAAAAAAAAAAAATGCAATATCATTAGTTTGTGGAAAGGAGTAAATTTTTCTCCATTTACAAAGGGGAGCTTGCCAGGGATGATTAATTACCAATTATAAATAAAAAGAATATATGAGCCCATATCTCTCCATAATATCCCATATTGCAGTGAAAAGAAGAGAAATATATTTTGTCCTTTTCTGAAACCAAGAGAGTATGCAGTGTTTGTATCGCTTGTCCAAATCAATGGTTCTCAAATTTTGTCTCCCTAAACGGTCCTCTGACACTCTCCCCTAATTTGAGTTCCTGGCCTACAAGATTCCCAGTTTCACTTTCCATCGGTCTCAGAAATAATCATGTTCCAACTGAATTATGGCTTTCAGGAATGGTACTGAGAAGGCAAGAAAAATGGGTGAGAGACTGAGAACTACGTACTACAAAAGAGAAGCTAAGGGCCACAGTGATGGATTTGCTGTGGTGACGTCCACCTAAGGTCAGGTTCGATTGGGAAAGCACTGCTGTTCCCATCAGGTAACTCCCCTTCCTTTCTGGGCAACAGGTCTCGCCAGCCCAGCCCATCCCCAGTACCGGGGGACGCCGGCGGCGGACAGTAGATGAAGACCCAGATGAACGGCGGCAACGCTTCCTGGAGCGCAACCGCGCTGCGGCCTCCCGCTGCCGCCAGAAGCGGAAGCTGTGGGTGTCTTCACTGGAGAAGAAGGCAGAGGAGCTCACTTCTCAGAACATCCAGCTGAGTGTGAGTGGATCCTGGAGGGTAACTGGGATTATTGAATCTGAAAAGTGGGGTTGAATCAGAAAAAAATGGGACAGCATAACTGAAGATAATTCTTTAATTAGGACAGATTGAAAAGCTGTGCCAGGAAGAATGCGAAATCTCTTTACAGAGTTGAGATCGCTTCTCTAGTAATTGGCAGGCACAGTCTACTACAAAATCTGCCACTAGGCCCATTTAGGTGAAGGGAATTAGAAAAGCGCCCCAGGGTGCTTCAGTCATCAGTAAAAATCAGGTATGGTGGTGCGCACCTGTGATCCTAGCACTCAGAAGACAGACAAGAGGATTGCTGCAAGGTCAAGGCCTGCCTGAATTACATAGCGTGACCCTGTGCCAAAACTCAAAAAAGTTTCTGCTGGAAACTAGCCATGGTTATGGAGATTTCCTTTTTTTTTTAACAGTTATACATTAGAACATTCTGTGGAGTGGTATGACATACTGTTCTAATCTTTTGTAGAACAATAATGCTGCAGTGAGCATGGATGCATTTGAGTAAATAGTTCTGCTAAACAAATACCTAGACCAGATGTGGTGGCACACGCCTGTAATCCCAGCACTCAGGAAGCTGAGGCAGGAGTCTGCAAGTTCAAGGTCAGCCTAAGATACATAGCTAGTTGGAGGCTAGTCTGGACTATGTAGCCAGACCCTGTCTCACAAACAAAACCAAAATACATTAGATGCCTAGATGTAGGCTTTCTTAGTGAAAGGGAATATAGCTTATGAGTTTGAGTACGATCGCATTTGCCTAAGTAAGAGTGATTTTTCTATTACGAGTCCCTGCTTTTCACAGTAGGCAATTCCTGTCATGGAATTCATGACTGTATTGGCCCTCCACTGTCTGAAGTCTGGCTGGATCAGAAGTCCTATTCCAGTTTGAGGAGAAAAACCCAAGCAGTGCTCTGCCCTTACTCTGGGCTGTATTGCTCTTTGGAGTACAAGAGTGGAAGCTAAATTTTCTCAATACTCTGCCCTCCCCCTCAGAATGAAGTGACGTTACTACGGAATGAGGTGGCTCAGTTGAAACAGCTGCTGTTAGCTCATAAAGACTGCCCAGTCACTGCACTACAGAAGAAGACTCAAGGCTATTTAGGTGAGTGGCTCACAACCCATGCAGAATCAGCAAGTCGGTATGTTGTAGGTCTGCATGTTGTGGGTCTCAGCTGTTCATAACTCTATCCTGAATGTGCTGGGAGCGCTCAGACTGATGTGCAGAGTCCTTGTGGAGCAACCAGTCCTACTATGCCCCCAAAAAAGTTCTGACAACACCATAGTTACCCTAACTGAACAATAGTTGGGGATGCAGGTTAGTGACATTTATTGTTTTGTTTAGGGAGTCTGCTATCTTCCCAGTTCTCTCATGAAATAGGTATTACCTCCGTTTTTACTCAGATCACTAACCAGAAATGACACAGCTAATAAAGTGGTGGAGCCAGGATTTACATCCAGGCGTTTCTTATTCCAAAGACATTCCCTAGGCCTGGAGAAGAGATACACAGCAGGTGATTCGTTGGGATTAAAGCACTCAGAATTGAGGGTATGTTTTATTTTTCTAAGGATAGGTCAGTATTGGTTTCAGTTTGTAATCTATGAGCAAACACAAAATAGTGCGAGAAGGAGACGGCCACACACTCATACTCCATGTAAGCACGATTTTGAAGTTAATATTATTGTGAATGAGCTAGGCCTTGCGATGCCTTCTGTGCCAGCTCTGGGAAGCTGAGGCAAGAGGATTGAAAGTTTGAGCCCAGCCTGGCCTATCCAGAGGGACCTTGTCTCAAAATAAAATATAATTATAAAATACACATCTCAGTGCAAAAACTGGGTTCAATCCCAATTACCACCAGAAAAAAAAGAAGATATTGCAGTGAATAATGTGCTTATGGGTAGTAAATGCTAACGAATGCCAGTTTTCCTTTACAAATTAACTTCCTAGAAACGTTGGCTATCAGATTTTGTTACATTGAATTATTTGCCACTAACCATCTTTATCATTGCAGAGATGTGTTCTCATAGAAAAAGAATAACCACATCACCAATCTTTAAAGGTCTCTGTTTAAATTTTAATATGTACTTCAGGGTGTGTTCATTCATTAAGCAGATATTGATTGAGTGCCTCTTCTGTGCAGGGCACTATTTTACATGCTAGCGATATCCTAAGGAACCAAATAGATTAGATTAAAACCTTGCCCTTCAGAAGCTTATATTTAGTAGTTGAGACAGACAATAAGTAAGATAATAGATGGTATCTTAGATAATAGTAAATGCTAAAAGAAAAAAAAAAGCAAAAAACAAGGATGGCTAATATGAAGTGTTGCCCACAGGATTGAAATTTTAGATGAGCTGACTTTTGAATTAAGACCCCAACGAAGTTAGGGAGCTAGCCACGCATTTGTGTGGAAGAAAAGTGCTTCAGGCAGAAGAAGAGCGAATACAAAGACCCTAGGAGGGAGGAGCCTGCCTCGAAGCTTCTAGCAACAGCAGGAAGGCCAGACTGGAGAGCAGCTGGAAGTGAGGTGTCCCACATAGGGTCTTGTCAGTTACAGTAACCATCTCAGATTTCACTCCCTGCTGGGTGCCGTTAGTGAGTTTTCAGCAGAGGAACAACATGACCGACAGAAAGATCACTGTTGGAGACATCAGGAGTGCACTGCAGTACGTGCAGGAAATAACAGAGTCTTCACCACGATGGTGGTAGTAAACATGAAGAAAGGGGATGAATTCAGGATAGTTTTTGCAGTTGGAGTGGAGGATGTGATGACAGCCCAGGTGGAGTGGTATACATGAAAAAAATTGCACCAAAATTTTTGGCCTGAGCAACTCCAAGAATACAGAGTTCTGGTTAATCGAGCTGCAGGAAAGTCTAGGAGGAAATGGTCTCAGAGGTCTCTCAGCTCAGTTTTGGACAAGTGAGGTTAAGAAACCTGTTAGGCTTGCAGAGGGAGATGTCAAGCAGTCGGTTGTGAGGGTGTGCAATCGGAGGAGAGGCTAAAGATAACATTTGAGAGTCAGGAGCAGGTAGTCAGTTTTGAAAGTTGGAAACTAGAGACTCTCTCCCACAGGAAAGCACATCTAAGAAGGAGAAGGACTGGAGCCTAGGATACTTCAAAATTCAGGTTAGACGGATGAGAAGGAACCCACAAGAAACTGAGAAGGTGCAGCCAGGAAAGCAGAAAGAAAACTGGCAGAGTAGCTGTATGTGTGGTCTGTAAATCAGGTTAAAAAGCATTATAAGAAGTTTATGATAAGGCCAGGGATATTGCTCAGCGGTACAGTGCCTGCCTGGCAAGTGTAAGGTCCCGAGTTCAATTCCCGGTACCAAAAAAAAAAAAGTTGAGAATTAGAAGTTTATGATCATCTATCTCAAATCTTGTTGATGAGCTAAAGGGGGCGAGGACTGAGTATTTTTCAGTAGTCAGTATGCAACAAGTTTTTGACTCAGCCTCTGCAAGAAGAGACTAAGAGGTAGTCAGTCCACTAAGCTACTTCTTTGTTACAACAAAGATGTGTGTAGTTCCTGCTGTGTGGTATCAGCATTATGGTAGCTACTTGACACAAGACAAATAAGACATTGTCTCTGCCTGTGAGAGACTCTAGGGTCATTGTAGACTGAGGTAAGGACAAATATCCAAGTCAGAACCACTGACTGGGAGCTTCCTGAGGACTGGTTCCCACTTTATACCCCAGTGCCCAGATGATGGTCCATAACTATTTGATGAATAAATGAATGTATCCTCTGAACACACAAAAGGTGAAGCCATTGATGTCCTTGATGGTAACAAGGATGGTTCACAGTGGAGGCAGTATTTAATCCTAAAAGATGATTCAGGCATCAAGAGGTCAAAAATTAACCAGGTCTGGTGGCATATACCTAGAATCCCAGCACCAGGGAGGCTGAGGCAGGAGAATCATTAATTCCCCCCTGAGTTCGAAGCCAGCCTGGAATACACGGGCTCTGTCTCAAAAACAAAACAAAACAAAAGAAAAAATGTTTAAATAAAAAGAAAAATTAAGCCAGGCACAGCAGCATACACTGATGATTCCAGTACTTAGGGACTCTGAGGTAGGAGGATCCCAATGTGAGTCCTGCCCAGGCAAGACTCTGCCCCAAAATAAAAACATAACCAAGTATGGTGGCACATGCCTGCATTCTCAGCACACTGGGGGTCTGAGGGAGGGTGGTCGCGAGTTCAAGCCCAGGCTGAGCAATTCAGTGAGACTCTGTCTCAAAACAACAACAGTTTTTAACAGGTAGGCATATAGCTCAGTGCAAAGGCCTTGAGTACAACCCCAAGTACTGCAAAAATAAATAAAAATAAATAATAAAAAGGACTAGGAGTGTAGCTCCGTGGTAGAGTACCCTGAGGTTTGACCTCATTACAGCAAAAATAAATAAAATAAAAATTTGAAAATAAAAAAGAAGTAAAAATACAACCACCTGTTTCCCTGATTCCACACATCTCTGCTTAAGCAGCCGTAGTGGCTGTCTGACGTTTGATAAAACTCCTTAGCCAGTGAACATCATGGAGTTACCTTTGTGTGCAGCTCACATATTTGTAGGAGTAAAATGTTGCTGTCACTGCATGCATACGCATGTTAGTAGCAGCACAACTCATAATAGCTAAATCTTGGGAACAACCTGTACATCCATCAATAGATGAATGAATAAAGAAAATGTAGGGGCTGGGGATTTAGCTCAGCGGCAAAAGCGCCTGCCTGGCAAGCGC